CTTTATAATTCACATTCAAAAATAAATAACTTTCGTTTTCGAAATTTCTCTCTCCCCTTTGTATTGTTTGTAATTTTAATTTAAGTATCTTGAATAGTAAAAAGAATTTTTAAAGAAAGATCACGCACTAAATTGTGAAAATTATCACTTTTTTTTTACGATATTCGTGTAATTTCTTTATATTTTTCTCTTATTATATGTAATATTTAAATTTAATATCAAATATTTATTTATTTATTTTAATTTATTTAAATTTGTTAATTTTTTAAATTGATTTTAAAATATTCAACTAGTATGAAATTACATAAACATTAAATTAATTTTTATTTCTACACTAAAAATTTAAAAAAAGAATATAAAAAAAAATGTTTTAAATTTAACTTTAAAAGTTCACAAAAAAAATTAATTTTCAAATAATTTTTTTATTTTTTTTATTTTTTATATATTATTATATATTTGCACAAATATACATACATATATAGATTACGACATTTGTAAAAATGGATGTTAAGTATAGGAATAATGCATCAAAAGTATATAATATTTACTTTATAGACAAAATTTCAATTATGTAAGTAAGTATGTATTTATAAAAACCATATTACATTTATGTACATATACATATATATTTTTTATTTAATATTTTAATTTAAAAAACTTCATAATTTTTTTTTTCCAAAAATAACTGAATTTCTTTCAAATTATCCACAAGAAATTTTTATACACTTATAAATAAAATCCGAAAATATTATTTTCTTTTTTTAAACGATCGCGTAACTTAAGTGTTAAATAAGCTTTTATCGCTTGCCGATATAAAACTAAACTGTCGTCTAATGATGAACTGATCGTGATTCGTGATACTAGATAAAAAAAAAAAACAAAAAGAAACAGAAAAAGAAAACAAAAAAAATTTGTATTTAATTAAAAGAAAATAAAAAGTAAATACCTACTACAATACTACAAAGTACAATATAACTGTGAAAGAGTATAAACCCCATATAATATTCTCATATATTCTCATATAATCATCATATGGACTGGCAGTGGCACACACAAAATTAAAACGAAACAAAATGAATTTAATAAAAAACAGAAAGCTCATTTTTTTTAAGAGAGTGAGTAAATTGAGATATTTTTTCAATAATAAAAAAAAAATATAATGATAATAATACAATGATGACGATTTTATATTTAATAAAGTTTATTTACTACAATATTAAGATTCGTCTTGATACCATGCCTATATAGTAATTCAGACAGTACCAAGAAAATTAAGTGCAAAAAAAAGAATCAAAGCGATATCTGTTCTTAACACAAAATAACAGCGGAACCACAAAATCACCTATTCAGTATTTTGTATAAAATGTTACACAAATCTTGATGGTCTTAAGGCTATTTTACCGACGTCAGTTTAATTTGCGACGGTAATTTCATATATGTTTGCATATTCTGTGTGAATTTTGACATTTCGCCGGATTATTAAACGTGGATTTTTGTATATTTCTCAGGGAAAACTACAAAACTAATCATTTTTACTAATACTAATCATTAATTATAATATTTGTATTACTACTATAATTGAATTATAATTGTCACATAAAATTATTATAATTAAATATCAATTATTAAAATTATTTTACATTACATAAAATATTTAAAAGAAAAAAATTTGATTGAAATTTCAAATATTCTTTAATTTTATAATAAAATGCAATCTGCTTAATCGAATTTTACAAAGAAAAATGTTATTTTTTATCCAATTAAATTTTAATAAAGCTCTAACACTATACTACATAATTTTTGATTTGGAGAGATATAAAATTAAGAGAAAATTTCAATTTTGTAAATGAAAACAATATTAATTAGGAAACCATAACAATGTTAATAAATAAATAAAAAACAATGAGAAAATAAATTAAAAGTATTGTACTTTGGTGCGTTTTATTAAGGAAACAAAATAAACATAATTTTAATTAAAAATAAGCCACCAAAGTGAAAATAATATAAAAATTGGCATGGCACTTAATAACTTTTGATTTGCTTGTTTACTATTTAATTTATTGTTTACTCTATATAAAATACAATTTTGTTATTTTAAATGAAATATTTGTAATTATTTATTTATTTGGTAAAATTTAAAGAATTTTGAAAAAAAAAAAGAAGAAAATAAGAAATCTTAATATTAGTGGTAAATTTAAATTTTACAATCATTTGTCCACATATTTCAATAGAAATTTCTTCCAGTATTTAAAAGAGTTTTTAGAGGTTATAAAATAACATGTACAGGTGCATAAGTTACATATTTTACAACACATTAGTATTAATATTTTTTTTTTCCAGTCCAATCTTATTCAGTTCAAAAATTTATAAACCATACCTTTATTTTACGCCTTTTTCGATTTCAAAAAAGAAAGTTATGCAAGTAGAACATATTGAATAAAAACTAAAAATCGATTGTACACATAAAAATAGTAGCCTTGCAGGTTATTTATAATTTTTATTTTAAAACAAAAGAATAATTCTTTAAAAGAAAATTTAAAAGAGTAAAGGTATTAGAAAAATTCATAAATAACAATAAGTTAAAAAAAAATATTTCCTTTATATGCTTTTATATTTATTTAATTGTGTATATAAATTGATGTTTTGTATCTAACATAATATACATATAAAAGATGAATAAAGCTTTTAATATTTTGATTTGTTTATCTATACGTCGACTGTAGATTGTACAGATAGAATAACAGAACACCGCAACCACCACAAAGGGCCTATTGAGCCGCTTCCCTTCCCTCCCCCCCCCCCCCCCCCCCCCCCCACCTTCTAATGTGTTACACGCTCATACAACACCCTTTCAAATCCCATATCCCTGATGAATTCGAGTAAATTAAAAGGTTCGGTGGACCGCAGCTATCTATTTGTATATTATTTATCTAATTAGCAAATTGAAAATATTTTAAAATTACTTCGCTTTACTTATTAATGAAATTGTAGTTTCTAGTTTAGGCTCGTAAAGAAATACATATATACAGTTATGGTATTTTTTATTGATATCCTATAAATTCAATTACATTTAATATATCTACTTATTTTTAATTTTCAAAATTTTCAAATCTGCAATAACTGAAATGACTTAATTATTTAATAATAAGCAACTATCAGTTTTACGGAAACAAAATAAAACAAAATATGTTAAAATAAAAAATTTATTTTTTACGTCACTTTTCACTCAATAATTTAATATACATACATATATGTATATGTATATGTACATAAAAACATACAGATTTAAGTACGTGTAAAAAATCACTAATTTTTAATCAGTATAATTTATTTATACATGCATACAATATGAAACCTAGAGTTTGAATTTGATTTTATGTAACACAATATATAATATACACATATGTATAATATTAAAACACAACTATGTATACTAATAATATATTATTATTCCTTGGAAAGCAATATTTTTTACATTGTACATATACGCATATTAAATATGTATATGTACATATGTAAATGTATAGAAAATAATTATGTAAACATATAAATTTCCTAGACATTAAAGGACATGTATCAAAATCTAAATTTACTGAATACTGATTCAAAAAATAAATTTAACCCAAAAAAAAAAAAAAAAACCAAATTTGATTAAGGTTAAATATTCGGTTGCGTGTTAAAATTGTTTGAAAAATAAAATGAAAATTAAATTAAAGAAACCTCCATTATACAATTTAATAGAAGAAAAAATCTACAGGTTACTTCTAAAATAAAAAAGGAAAAGTAGAGAGCAATAGTCATAATTTTGAATAATAATTGTCGCAATAATAAATATATATACAAAATATATAAGCAGTGTTTCATAAAAATTGTCATGAAGTTCAATATATGAAGATCAATATATTTTCCAAATCAATTACTTATCCATTCAAGAAATTTTAAGTTTATAATTAAATTTGGGGGCAAACTTATGCTAAGGATATTTTTTTTTCAAAATCGCAACTTCGTTGATACAAAAATATCACTATTATCAGGAATGCTATCTCTCTTTATGGTAAATATTTAAGGCCAATTTTAATTTTAAAACCCAATTTTCTGAAATATAAATTTCAGTAGTTACTTTGCATAAGTGTGAACACTATCCAAGTATTATGTTTATTTATGTAAAAGCAATTTCAAAAGTAAATTTAATCTCTTTGACAATTTTAACATTAAATAGTATTAAGAATTTAAAACCAACAATTTGACACGGGTAATTTAGTTCACATAAGGATAAACAGATGCCGGAAATTATTCATATATCAATATTAATTATTTTATTGATCTATAAAAAATATAAATTTAAGTATGCCTAAATTTAAATCACCCTGTGCTCATAAGAAAAATACAAAAACGTTTGGTTTTCTTTTTGTTTAAGTGCCATAAAGCAGTTATACTGAATATATTACGGTTCTTAATCCCCATATTGTATATAATACTGATTATATTACATTTTTTATAAGGATATAAATTATATAGGCTTGTTTATTTTTGTATATGATGTAATATTATGTATTACATGCCAAATAAGTATGTATACAAAAAAAGAAAACAAAAATTATTTATTGTTCTAAAATAAAAATAAAAAAGAATTTTTTTAATCAAAGAAAATGAAAACAAAATTCTGATTTAGTTCTCATTTTTTACAAAAAACGAGGGTAATAATAAAAAAAAAAAAACAAAAGCAAAAAAGAAATTTTTTCATTCAATATACTTAAATTTTCACTGCTTTTCTCTACCTTGATTAACTTATAAAAATAAAAATTATCTGTTGGCAAGCCAAATTTTTCTAAAAAAAATTAATATAATTATTTCCCCATTTTTTAATATTTCAGCGTTATTATGATTTTAAATAACAGTATTATTACCAATAATATTCTATTAAAAAGAAATCCTGTTATAAATTACAAAAATTATAGAATTCCTATTATAACATAACAAGCAATTAATAACAAACTTACCTCTTCAATAGAATCACTCTCATATAGATAAACATGTAATAAAGGATCTCTAGGATCTTTTATTAAATAAACCATTGCATTCATTGGTCCATTAAATTCCATAAAATTACTACCACAAATGTTATTATTATTACCAGCGCCACCACTATCACTTTTATTAGAATGTGATATTGTTTTTAGATGAATGTAATTACCAGTATTACGACAATTTTTATGAAAATTTATACGACATACTCCAACAACAAATTTTAAATGATGATTTAATTGTAATTCAAAATCAGCATTATATGCTTCTAATTGACCATTTTCAATTCCAACTGATAGCTGAAAATATTTATAAGAAAAAAGATATTTAAATTTAAATATATAAATTAAAAATAAAATATATAAATTTAAAATTATGTAAGTATGTAATTGTGTATGTACTCGCTCATGTACATATTACATAAACAACTGCATATATGTTTAAGAAAAAAAAAAGTTGATTGGAGTACAAGTAAATCAAATGCACTAGGCTGGGTCAATTTTTTTTTTTTTGTTCTAAGTATAAATTTAAATTTGTAATAATGGATAGGTAGCATTTTGAGCGTAGTTACATTAATCCGAATTCCTTTCAAATTTATTGTAAGCATATTCATATTCTCTTTTAATTTTTATCCTCTTATTGTTAAACGATCATTTTATAATATTAAAATATTTAAGGTATCTAGTTAGGGAATAGAAATTAGAAAATAGGAATTTTGAAAATAGGGAATGATCACTTATAAAACACATATTTTTGTAATGTAAGTTGTTTTTCAATAGACAAATTTAAATTTATTTGTAATTAAGAGGTCAAAAACATTAGTAGGTACACATGGTAACTAGAATTTTTTTGAATTCTCTAAAAAATAATCAAAAACTTAATAAGAATGCATTATTTTATTTGTCAGTTAAATAAAAATTGTTATACTGTTTGTAGTAATGACTCATATATATTTGGGATCTGGGACCAATACAGGTGTATTATTGGTAGTAAATATAAATATATTTAGGTAGGACTTATCTATTTAGGTTTTCGATTAATGGTATTTTTTATTACATTCACTAAATTTAAATAAAATTAATAAAATAAAATTAATTATGTGTCTAGTTGTTTTTGTATCCTTCTAAGCAAGCATCAATTTCAAGAAGAATCAATTTTATTCTTCAGTTTAAATTATCTGTTGTTCACTTAGTATTTTATCAGGAAAATATTGCATATTTTCAGGGTACTACTATTTAATGTTTTTTTTTCTACAAAGCAAAGCAATGCTCATATAAATGTAATATATGTATACATATGTGCATAATTTGTATAAAAAATCCTAACTTCTCGTCTTTTGAGGAACCAACAAAAATATTTTAACCAATAATAATGAAATTATTACAAATACGTTTATAAAACATTTTAAATGAATAAAATATTTTCATATTTTATTAAAAATTTTGAAAAAAACAAAAAAAAATTTTTGCAAATTACAGGTACATACATAGGTAATTAGTTAATTAATAAAATTTTGCTTGAAATTTAGGTTCCTGAACAATAATTAAAAGGATTTTTTTTGTCATATCTACCTTTTTGTGTACTTCCATTGAACGTATATCACTAATAGTCCAAGGTAACATAGCAGCTGAAAATCTTGGATCCACTGAGGCCTCACCTCTATAAGTTAATCCTATTAGTTTCGTCTTCATTGTTTTTTATTGTTATATTTAAACTTGTTTCTGAAAAATTATTAATTCTAACAAACAAAAATTGCCAAAGCAATGAACATTTTTAATTTTAATTGTTTTAAACACAAACTTCTTTTTTTTACATTAAATTTTTTAATACTTTTTTTTCATTAAAATTTTTCTTTTTAGAGAAAAATCGATTTCAATTTGTCACTATGCTTTATTTACATTAAACTAAACTAAAAGAATTATTTGGGACGTTTTACAATCATTATTATTGATTTTAAATAGATTAATTGTTATTTTAAATGAATAATTTATCGAAATTTTAAAATTTAAATAATTTTTAATACATAATTTGTTAATTTTTATTTTACAATTTCACCTATGTTTTACAATAGAACGAACTTTCCAACCAAGATACTAATTCAAATAATTTTTTCTGTACTTTTGAAGTACGTTACATACATATTTTTTAAATGTCAAACACAATGTTGCCTAAGCTAAAAAAAATCATAAATTTTACTTTAAATAAAATTCTCGTTCTTAAAAACCAAGTGTTTACATAAGCAAGTTTTAGACAAAAGGTTGCAATACGTAAAAATTTTTCCTAATCAACTAAAATAATTTAATGTGCCACTTTATTATCTTCAGCCAAGAAAAATTTGCTATGAGTAATTTGAGTTACGATGTATTGAATAAATTCAAGAGAAAAATCAAAACAAAATTAAATTCTACATTAAAAAAATATAAATGTCTACACATATTTTCTTTCCATAGATTGTAATCTGCCATTTTGACAAACTAAATGTCGATTATGTTTTTTTTATGTAGCCTTTCTCACGTTGACTCATAGAAGCTTCTACGACTAGTAAAACTCTGTAGTAATTGTCGTTAGTAAACATATTTAACTACTTTAAATAAGAAAATGGCTGTTTCCATAAAATTTTCAACCAAATTCTATTAGAATGTTATTATAATTCTACTAAATTCTTTTATAAAACATTATACAAACTCAAATTTTCAGGGCAAAATAAATATAATCCAAACACTGATTTTTCAACGAAGGTTCTTTCTGTCGGTCAAAGTTATTTTTGAAGTAGTTTCTATATACTTGTTTTTCTTTTTCATAGAAAAATTGTTATAGAACATACAATATTAAAATCAATCGTTTTTATATTGCAAATATTTAAATGAACATGCACAATGCCATATTCTGTTTTTATTATTTTGCCAGTGATTTGTATAAAATCTATCAAAATATTTTTACATTGTTTTTGATTACATTAATTGAAAATTTCAAGTCAAATAGCATTTATATGAGCCCGAAATCGGTTTCAAGATGCATATGAATCCAGTAATAGTATAAGTTTTTAAAATTTGTTGTCTTTGATTTTTTTCCTCCATATGTTCTTCCATATGTACCGTAACTTCTTGACTAATATACCCAATTTTTGTTAACCAAAATGACAAACGCTTACGAAAATTTTTATCGCTTTCGTGTATTGTGTGATGAGATCTTTTAGTCGTACCCTTATATGCATTGTAATTTCATGGTTGTCATGCTATGTCATTTATCAAATATAGACATATATGTAGATATAAACAAAAAAATTCTTAAAATTAAAATTGAAATGCATGCAATTGCATTGCTAAAAAAACTGGAGACACTTTTTCTGTACATTTCTGTGAGCTTCTAGACATCTAAATAATAAGAATTAAAAATGGTTGCTTTAAAAGAGAATATAGGATTCATTGGTGGCGGCAACATGGCATTTGCAATTGCTTTAGGTTTAATAAACCGAAATGTAATTCAGCCTAATCAGATATTAACATCAGGACCACATATAGAAAATTTAGAGCGTTGGACGAAAATGGGTACTTCAATTACTGTGGACAATTATGAAGTTGTCGAAAAATGTGATATAATTTTTTTGTGTGTAAAACCGAAAATATTGGAAAGTTGTTGCAAGGATTTATACAAATCATCATGTAATAAGTTATCAATTGCAGCCGTAGATAAAATATTTTTATCTGTTTTAGCCGGGGTTACATTAGAACAGTTAGAAAAAAGTTTAAAATTTTATTCTGACTTAAATGTTAAAATAATCAGAACAATGCCTAATACTTCTGTGCAAATTGGTGAAGGATGCATTATTTATACACCAAATTCAGCCGTAACTAAGAGCGATTTGGCAACGATTGAATTGATGTTATCTCCGTTAGGATTAGCCAAAGAAGTACCCGAACAATTAATAAATCCACTTACAGGGGTTGCTGGATGTGGGCCAGCCTTCGTATACACAATTATTGAAGGATTAGCTGATGGTGCTCTTAAGCAAGGTGTACCAAAAGAAATGGCAGTAAACTTCGCGGCTCAAACTTTGCTAGGAGCATCTAAAACCCTTTTATTAACGAAAAAACATCCAGCAGTTTTGCGTGATGAAGTTTGTTCCCCAGGTGGGTCTACAATCGTTGGAGTACATGAGCTTGAAAAAGGAAATATAAGATCCATCCTTATGAATGCAGTGGAAAAGTCAGTTGAAAAGTCAGCAGCTTTAGGAAAGAGCTCTAGTGAAAAGTCACAATAAATGTAAAACTACATGACGAAATCCTTCAAATTATAGTATGATTTTTATGTATATATTACTGTTATCAAAATATAGTTAACTGATCACATGTATGTACACAATCTTTTTTCGTTTTGAATGAATTTGCAGATGGCCTCTAAAGTATTGAACCAAACATAAAAAAGAAACTGCCATTTGTAAGTTTATATTCCATTATATTGGCTTTACAATCTACCATGTATGTTTTTGAGCATTAGAAAATCACATACAATCATCTAAGTATATGAGATACAATGAAAAATATACAGATGACGCTGTTTGTAAGTGCATTATGGTTGCCAAATATTTCGCTTTTGGTGAGGTTTTCCCGACTTTGAATTGTTTGCCACGATTTGTCTAATTTGTTTGAATTTTTGTAGAATTTTGTTTTAAACATTTATATAATGCCCTCCAGATCGAGATTTTCAACCCAAATCGATTCGTTAAAATTACTAGTTTGATTTGGAAATCGACTGAATATACGCCGATTGAAAGATTGAAAATGATAAACAAATAAATAATGCTTGTCAGTTAATATGAGTCAAGCTACAATATACACGATTGTAATTTCAAGTAAGTACTTGATGTACTACATAAGCAAAGGAGTAGTCATTGTAATGTGAAATATATAAATTCGTTTTAATATGCTCAAAAGACATATTGGTTCAAGTTAAAACCTAATATTATAATAATTTGGTTTTTGCATTTATTTGAATATTTTGTAATTTTAAAATATTTTTTGTATTTTGAATATAAAAATACTAAAACTAATTAAAACAATGGATTTTACTTTACTACAAATTATTGTAGATTTACTTTTTTTTTTTAATTTTTTAATTTTTTAAAAATTTCTTTTGATTTGAGGAAAAAATCCCAGAAATAAATTATTAATACCCTATTCCACTTCTCAAATAACATTTTATGCATATTATTTAACTTGGAATTTTATTTGGAAGAAATTTCTCAAAGTCAAAGATGTTTTCCAAGATAAATTGTTTTATTTTGAGATAACTTCAAGTCTTCTAGAATATTTTGAAAGAAACTTAAAATTTACAAAAATTTACAAAAAAAATTTAAATTCATAATAATTAATTATAAGTAAATTGATATTCAAAAATATTTCAAAATACAAAAGTGATATGGATACAAAATATTAAAATATTTTTGCAAAATTTTTAAATAAAATGTCAACCAAAACAAGTTTGGTCAACCAAAACTAACGAAAACAGCTGACGCAGTGTGAATCCAATTTTCTATAACATGTTATTCGAACAGTATAACATGTTATTCTTCCGTATTTCTCCGATTACAGCCCGGCTATCTGACATAATCATAATATCCGGTCCCCGATACCTCCTTTCCAGTTTGAACCGCATGCACAATTTAATTGTATGCGCTGCGGTCTGAAACAAGCTCGGAAAAGGTCCAATAGGTTCTTGGTCCAAACACTTTCACACCCGTTCTAGCACTTGTCTGCAACCTATGGTGTATGATGCCATTGGACAACCTGAAAAATTATGGTCCCAGTCCATTTTGTTGCGCAGCACCGAGGTAAAGTTTTTCTCAAAAAATTAACTCCTTACCATGTTGTCCCGAGGCACTGCTTGGAGCGAAGTTTCTCCGGGAAGACGGTCCCGAAGACAGACGAGCAACAATTCCACCAGTTGCCCGATATGTTCATATCGACAAGTAGAAAAATAAAATTTTCATAATTTTTTGAATGAGTTTGTAAATCTATATGCATTATAGAACAATAATTTGCTATTTTATTTATATTTTTATTTGAGTTCTTGTATCAAAATATGGCAAATAAATTAGAGTGAGAACTACTGACAGCTGTCAGTGCATTCAGTAGTTAAAGCAGAGTAAGCGAGGTAATTATTGTACTATTAACTTAATTATCTCTTTAGGACAAATCTATAATAAACCTATAATAATGATAACAAAAATGTTTTTTCCCTACCATCATCTAAATTTTTTTTATCAAATATTTTATTTCATTCTTATCTCTTTTTACGACTTTATTTAATTTTCTGCATCTCATTTTTTAAACGCTGCCCTTGCATGCAGCAATTGTCTATAAACTCATGGTTAAGTTGGTTGAACTGTATTTGGCGTTTTCAGCTTGTACATCCCTAGGGCTCAAAATACAATTGAAATTGAAAACGCAAAAGTAAAATTTTGAATTAGCAATAGTTAACAGACAATTCGCGGGAAAGTATACTAAACAGAGAATTTTTTCTATACTTATTTTTTTTTTTTGAATATTATTTTTGTTAATTCATGTATTTAAATTTCAATATCATAAGTATTTTCTGTTTTAAATTTAAAAGAGCTCAAAATGTCTTTAAAAGGTGCTAAATTGATTTGGACAAATAAGAAAGAAAAATCGGAAAAAGTTATCCACCTAAAAAATAAAAAAAATTTTAAATTTGGGTATTATATGACGAATGATTTTATATTAAATAATCCTCAGGCTAAGCCAGTACATTGTGAAATAATTGCGGATGCTTTCAATAGAGTAAGTTTAATGTTTTAATGTACTTAAGTACAACATATGTACATATATCCATTACATATAATATGCTGCACTCTAATTTATTTCGCTGTCCCTAACAATGTCAATTGCTAGCATCATTTTATACATATTTCCTTTATGAATTTGAATCATCAATTTATTAATTCTAATTTGCTAATTCCTATATTATCAGATTAGCATTATAAATAACAGTCGGCAAAACCCAATATCCTTAAATGGTTTTCGAGTAAAAACCCGACGTCCATTACTTCATGGAAGTAAAATAAAAATTTTCGATGATGAATTTGTATGGCAATTTCCAAGAAATGGAAAAGTTAAATCCAGAGAGCTGACGACTGAAAGTAAAAATAGGGTTGAAGAGGAGAAAAAAACACCAGAGAAGAATCAACAAGAAAATATCCCTGCTCCTATTTCAGAGCCATGGAAAAAGAAGGTTCGTCTGTGTTTAAATATAAAAATTATCTAAATAATATTTACAAAAAAAATTAAACTTTCAGCATAAACTAAGAATAAAAGAACGATTATCAGCGCACAGGTAATTAGTTAGCCTTTTTCTGATATTATTCAGTTATTGATACTTATTCAGGTTAATGATACTTGAACATTAACACTGTTTTATTACTGTTTTATTCTATATTTATTTTTTTTATAGTTTCATGCAAAAACAAGAACAAGAATCAGATGAAAGTGACTCTGAAAATAAGAATTATAAGAAAGTTACAGATCCAAAAAGACAATGTAGTTCAACTAAAAAAAAATGTATATCTGAGCAGTTGAGACGTAAAACCTTTGAGCCTGTAACACCAGTAAAGGAATGGAATGAAGATTCTTCTTTAATAAAGTTTGATTCGAATATGAATCAGAATAAAGAAAATCTCGCAATTAACCGTTCGCAGTTATCAAAATTGATTAAATCAGAAATTTTAGTTACATCATTTTCTCCATTAGTAAACAATGGTACTGCCATATTTGATTCATCATTTGCATATATTAAATCAAGCAAAAATTCACCTAAAAGTTTGTATGCTACACCAAAAAGTGCTTTGTCAGAAATAAATGCTGATAATATTAATGACACTAGTACTGAATTTATAAAATTTTCAACACCTATGGCAAAGTACAATACAAACAACACTTCTATGTACTTGATTGATTTGACCACCCCGGCTCAATTCAAAGAAAATATAAGTAGCCATGAAATAGACTTAAAAAAAACACCTACGAATGTTAATATATCTAAAACATCTAAATTAAAATCTGCATTAAAAAGTTTTTGTCCAAAAGAAAATCGTACAAAATCAACAAAGAAAGTTAAAATGACTTGTGGCGAAAGCCTTGTTCCGTCAGAGCGAAATTCCGGGCAAGGAAAACCATTTTCTTGTAAGAATAATATTTCTAAACATGAAACAAAATTCATGAATTATATTTCTGAAGATGAAGATAAATACTCAAACAAAATTTGCCCAGAATCGAGCAATATATCATTAACAAAATCAAAAGATGAAAATGAAGACTATTGTTCAATTGAAACAATTGATGACACAATATACTTTAATGATACCAACACTACACAAGAAAATGAAAATGTTGTAATTGAGGTGTCGGACGAGTCCACTGCAAGCATTCCTTCATCACCAAAAAAATTAACTTCAACTCCTAAATCAAAATTTAGAGCGTCAAATATTTCTCAATCATTGGTGAAAAAAGCTTTACTTTCTAGTACTAAAAAAATGTCCAAAACTGCTATTGCCAGGTCTTTAATTTCAGATAAAAGCCCAATTCATTTTCAGTCTAAAAGTGCTTCTCTTTTCTTATCTAAAAATGATAATTTAAATGAAACATTAAAGGATATGCGCTCTGTATCACTGAATAAAAAGAACGTGTCTTCTATTGCAACACCTACAAAGAAAAATTCGATATCTAATAATATTTCGAGCGTTAAGGCAAATTCTTTCAAGAATTCTGAAAGTTTAAAAAATAATAGAACATCTTTTTTGAGATCCAGTTTAAATAAAAGCGTTAATTCATATTCCAATTCTAAGCGTTCTTGTGAAAATTCAATTAAACAAAAATCTATTTTTCCTGTCAAGACCAGCTCCAAACATATTTTCGTGACCTCAACTTCAAAGCCTGCATCAAAAACAAAGTCAGTTGTGGAATCTAGCACTCTTAATGAAATGCAAAATTTAGAAAATCTAGAGTCTGAAACTTCTGACAAAAAAGGTTCTTGTGGTGAAGTCAACAAAAATTGTAATGAAATATACCAAAACAATGCGGAAAATTCAGCTTTAAATGAAACATTTACAGTAGAATCTGATGATGAAAATTTCAGTTTGCATATATCAGAAAAAAATTGTTCTGACTTGAATACGATTTTAGTACAACAACGCGAATCTGAAACCCTAACAAATTGTGAATCACCTAGGATAACTGAAACGCAAAAATTAATTAACTCTCAGAATAGAAACAATGTTTTGGTAGAAAAAATGATTAACAAAAGATCTATTGCAACCCCAATTTTTAAGGGAATCAAAGAAATGATTAGAACACCGAAAGTTCTTAAGACTCCTGAAATGGAAGATATTAAACATATGATCAAAACTCCTAACTTCGGAAAAACTCAAAACTTTAAAGGGACAAAAAATATGAAAACACCACAAAATGAAAAAAGTAATGTTGAACTTTTAGGTGTCAAAGAGCTTATAAAAACTCCAAAAATCCATGAAAGTAATTTTAATGCGGTAGGCGAAATGTTAAAAACTCCTCAACCTAGTTTAGAAAATAGTTCGTTTGATACAAGATTGATGCGAAATATAATAGAAAACGAATACGAAGGTAATTTTGCATGTTTTCAATTGATTTGGTATTTTAATATATGAAATCTCTTTAGGTGTTGACCAAATTTTTAAAACTCCATCAGCAAAAGCAATTATGGTATCTGATAAAGGGAACGAAAGTACAACAATAAAAAAATCTTTAATTTCAAATGCTGAAAATATTTCAAAACCTATTAAATTCAACTTGGAGGATGAAATTGAACCAATAGTTAAAACCATATTATTTGAGAATTCTTTAAAAGGTGTAACCGAGAATTACACTTCAACACCACATTCGACATGTAATCAGACCTTCGATGAATTAATTGGCTCTCAGAATGTCGTGAAAACTTATTCCAGAAGAAAAAAACAGTCGGTAACTGACCCAGTAATGCTCCTTGAATCAAGTGGCTTAAACGATATTGCGAAATCCGACATCCAGGAATGGATTGAAAATATTTCGCCAGAAATTACGGAATCTAAAGAGGAAATTGTAACAAACATTGCAGATATTTCAAATGTTTCCGGTGGTTTATTTGATATTAGCGGCATAGACATTTTGAATTTGACACACAAATCAGTCGACTCAGAAAATAAATGTAGTATTTTACACAATATTAACAAAATAGTAAAAGAAAAAGTTAAACAAATTAATAGTCCTGGCGACAAATACAACTTGAATATTCAAAAATCCTTTTCCCTAGATACAGACAAGTCTAAGTTTAAACCAAACCCAGATCCACTTCTGGAGGGCACATTTAACCTAGAAACGACGAACCAACAAAAAGAAATTGAGGAAGATTTCGAATATTTTGAAAATCAACCCATAGTAAATAAACAAAGGTCGTTTACTCCAGAAACACAAATATATAAAACAAAGTGGAATAGAAAAACAATTGGCAATAATCAAATCTTAGACGAGTGCTTTAATTTAAAAGTAGTTAAAAAACAAAGAGAAATGGAATTGGCATTTCAAAATTTTGAAGAAGAACCAAATTTAAATAACCTTAAATCGTTAACTCCAGAATACTATAAACCTAGAACAAAAGTAACGAGAAAAACAATGGGAAACAATCAAGTCTTACATGAGTCATTTGACTTAAAAGCAGCAAAAGAAAAAAGAGAATTGGAGTTGGCATTTACAAATTTTGAAGAAGAACCAAACTTAAATAGCCTTAAATCGGTTACTCCAGAAAAATGTAAACCTAGAACAAAAGTAACGAGAAAAACAATGGGAAACAATCAAGTCTTACATGAGTCATTTGATTTAAAAGCAGCAAAAGAAAAAAGAGAATTGGAGTTGGCATTTACAAATTTTGAAGAAGAACCAAACTTAAATAGCCTTAAATCGGTTACTCCAGAAAAATTTAAATCTAGAACAAAAGTAACGAGAAAAACAATGGGAAACAATCAAGTCTTACATGAGTCATTTGACTTAAAAGCAGCAAAAGAAAAAAGAGAAATGGAGTTGGCATTTACAAATTTTGAAGAAGAACCAAACTTAAATAGCCTTAAATCGGTTACTCCAGAAAAATGTAAACCTAGAACAAAAGTAACGAGAAAAACAATGGGAAACAATCAAGTCTTACATGAGTCATTTGACTTAAAAGCAGCAAAAGAAGAAAGAGAATTGGAGTTGGCATTTACAAATTTTGAGGAAGAACCAAACTTAAATAGCCTTAATTCGGTTACACCAGAAAAATGTAAACCTAGAACAAAGGTAACGAGAAAAACAATTGGAAACAATCAAGTCTTACATGAGTCATTTGACTTAAAAGCAGCAAAAGAAAAAAGAGAATTGGAGTTGGCATTTACAAATTTTGAGGAAGAACCAAACTTAAATAGCCTTAAATCGGTTACACCAGAAAAATGTAAACCTAGAACAAAACTAATGAGAAAAACAATGGGAAACAATCAAGTTTTACGTGAGTCATTTGACTTAAAAGCAGCAAAAGAAAAAAGAGAAATAGAGTTGGCATTTGAAAATTTTGAAAATCAACCCAATTTAAAAATCCAGAAGTCCTTTACTCCTGAAGACCGTAAATCTAGCATAAAACTTCCTAGAAAAACATTGGGAAACAATCAAGTACCACGTAAATCTTTCGACTTAAAAGCAGCAAAAGAAGAAAGAGAATTGGAGTTGGCATTTACAAATTTTGAAGAAGAACCAAACTTAAATAAACTTAAATCGTTTACTCCAGAAAAATGTAAACCTAGAACAAAAGTAACGAGAAAAACAATGGGAAACAATCAAGTTTTACGTGATTCATTTGACTTAAAAGCAGCAAAAGAAAAAAGAGAAATAGAGTTGGCATTTGAAAATTTTGAAAATCAACCCAATTTAAAAATCCAGAAGTCGTTTACTCCTGAAGACCGTAAATCTAGAATAAAACTTACTAGAAAAACAATGGGAAACAATCAAATCCCACGTAAATCATTCGATTTAAAAGCAGCAAAAGAAAAAAGAGAATTAGAGTTGGCATTTACAAATTTTGAAGAAGAACCAAACTTAAATAGCCTTAAATCGTTTACTCCAGAAAAATGTAAACCTAGAAAAAAAGTAACGAGAAAAACAATGGGAAACAATCAAGTCCTACATGAGTCATTTGACTTAAAAACAGCAAAAGAAAAAAGAGAATTAGAGTTGGCATTTACAAATTTTGAAGAAGAACCAAACTTAAATAAACTTAAATCGTTTACTCCAGAAAAATGTAAACCTAGAACAAAAGTAACGAGAAAAACAATGGGAAACAATCAAGTTTTACACGAATCATTTGACTTAAAAGCAGAAAAAGAAAAAAGAGAAATAGAGTTGGCACTTGAAACTTTGGAAGCCGAACCGAATTGTATACCTAAAAAGGCATATACTGCTAAAGAGAAAAAAACTATGGAGTTAGAAAAAAAATTAAAGAAAACAACACAAAGTTCTCGAAAACTTCGAACCCGAAAAATTGAGACTGATAATCATTTAGATAATAATGAAATTGGATATGAAGAAGGGAAATGCAAAACATATACTTTTGAGCCAGAATTTAAAACTCCTACTATTGTTGCACCTAAGACAAGAACAGCAAGGAGATTAAGATCGAATTCAACATCAACTCCAGTTAAACTGTCAGAAGAAATTTGTAATATTTCACAGATACAAATCAATGAAACTACAAAAATTTCCGCGTCATCAGAAAAATCTAAAATTAGTGGCACAGTTATAGAAAATGACGAATTGCGAAATGATATAAACGTTGATAAAAAGGGAAGAGCTAGAACAAGGCAAAGAAAGGTTGTAGAAAAAGATGAAATGGATTTTGCTGTAATTGACGAAACAGGTAAAGCTAAAGAAAGTGAAAGCGAAAGTATAATCAAGAGTGAAAACTTGGAATTAGAAAAACCTGTGAAAAAAAGAAGTCGCAGAAATTTGTTAAAAAAAAAGGACGAAGTTATTAATGTTGAAACACAAATGTTGGACGAACAGGTTTCTAATGAAAGGTTAAACAAAGCAACTCAAAGATCGGAAAGACTTCGAGCCCCAAAAATTGAAACTGATGAACATTTGCATAAGAATGATATTAATTCTGAAGTGTTAGATTGTCAAGAATTAACTAGCTTTGAAGCACAATATAAAAATATGAACATTGTTGTATCTAAGACAGAAACTGGAAGGGGATGGATATCGAATTCAACATCAACTCCAGTTAAATTGACGGAAGAAAATTGTAATATTTCACAGATACAAATCAATAATACCACGAAAAGTTCCGCGTCATCAGAAAAATCTAAAATTAGTGGTGCAGTTATGGAAAATGACAAATTGGGTAACGATATAAACCTCGATAAAAAGCTAAGAGCTAGAACAAGGCAAAGAAAGGTTGTAGGGAAAGATGAAGTGGATTTTGCTGCAAATGGTGAATTAGGTAGAGCTAAAGAAAGTGAAAGTGAAGCGAAAAGCGCAAGTATAATCAAGAGTGAAAACTTAGAATCAGAAGAACCTGTGAAAAAAAGAAGTCGCAGAAATTTGTTAAAAAAAAATAACGAGGTTATTAATATTGAAACACAAATATTAGACGAGCAGGTTTCTAACAAAAAGTTAAACAAAGCAACTCAAAGATCTGAAAGACTTCGAACCCCAAAAATTGAAACTGATAAACATTTGCATAAGAATGATATTAATTCTGAAGTGTTAGATTGTCAAGAATTAACTAGCTTTGAAGCACAATATAAAAATATGAACATTGTTGTATCTAAGACAGAAACTGGAAGGGGATTGATATCGAATTCAACATCAACTCCAGTTAAATTGACGGAAGAAAATTATAATATTTCACAGATACAAATTAATGATACCACGAAAAATTCCGTATCATCAGGAAAATCTAAAACTAGTGGTACAATTTTAGAAAATGACGAATTGCGAAATGATATAAACGTAGATAAAAAGGGAAGAACTAGAACAAGACAAAGAAAGGTTGATGAAAAAGATAAAATGGATTTTGTTGCAAATGGCGAATCAAATAGAGTTAAAGAAAAGGAAAGTGAAACGAAAGGCAGAAGTATAATCAAGAGTGATAACTTGGAATCAGAAGAACCTGTAAAAAAAAGAGGTCGCCGAAATTTAATTAAAAAAAATGACGAAGTCATTAATGTTGAAACACAAATGTTAGACGAACAGGTTTCTGATAAAAAGTCAAACAAAGCATCTCAAAGATCTGGAAGGCTTCGAACCCGAAAAATTGAAATTGATAACCATTCGGATGAGAATGATATTAATGCTAAAGGGATAGACAGCAAAGAATCAACTAACTTTGAGGAACAATATAAAATTATTAACATTGTTGTATCTAAGACAGGAACTGGAAGGGGATTAATATCGAATTCAACGTCAACTCCAGTAAAATTTGTTGAAGAAAATTGTAATATTTCACAAATACAAATCAATGATACCACAAAAAGTTCCGCGTCATCAGAAAAATCTAAAATTAACGGTACAATTATAGAAAGTGACACAAATGAAGACAAAAAGCTAACAACTAGAACAAGGCAAAAAAAGGTTTTAGAAAAAGACAAATTGGTTGAAAGTGGCATATTATTAAGCACAACTAAAGAAAATGAAAACAAAACCAAAACCGAAAGCATAAGCGAAAGTGAAAAAATAGAATTAGAAGAACCTGTAAAAAAAAGAGGTCGCCGAAATTTGTTAAAAATTAAAAACAACCAAAGCAATAATATTGAAACGCAAATGTTAAATGAACAGATTGCAACAAAATTAGGTGATCCCGTGAAATCAACGGAATTAGATGAAAACATAAATACATCATTCCGAAGATCCAAAAGACTTCGAAATCGAAAAGTCATATCTGATAGCCACTCCGATAGTATTGATACGGAAATTTCAGAAAAAGAAATCACTCATATAGAAAAAAGATCAACTAGACGAAGAAAATAAATTTTCGTTTAATAAACTTTTAAACTTTTACACCAATAAATGATTTTTGAAGGTCATTTAGGACAGGAAAAATTAGATTTTAAAAAATTGTTATTATAACTTTTGGTATGCGTCGGTTTCTTTTTATATATTTTTTTTTTTGTTTTGTATAAACCTTTTTAATTTTTATATTGAAACTTTGATCAGTTTTTAACCGATTTTGTATAAGTTTTGTATGTTTTAATTAAAGATTTTATTGATTTGAAAATAATTTGTAAAAAGTTTATTATTTTTATACAATTATGTCTCAGGTTTCTGTCTTATAGAATCCCATTTTAAAGCTTTAATTTGAGACTTATTTGATTTTTCTATTCGTTGCTTAAATGCTTGTGGGGTTATACCATTTACAAATGCAATGGTATTTATGTTGAAATTTGAATTGAAACAGAAAAAAAGTAATGCGTAAGCCAAGCTTTTGATTTGAAAATAGGTGCTTAAATTCAAATTTTATACATACATATGTACATAATTTGAAGTGATCAATAAGATAAACATATTTCAAAAACATACAGAATGTAATGTTTACGTGCTTTTTCTCATATTGCTATTTTGTAATAGGTAATGCTGTTTTTAGGTAAATGCTATCTTTACATCCTTTTGTTTAATATTTTACAAAAGCAATAATTAGTAACTTTTTTCCAGTTGCAAGTGTATCACTGTGCTCTGTTAAAAATAAAAGAAAAAATTTAACAAAAAAAAAAGCATAGAAAAATGTTCACTACTACAAAAAATTTTATTATAAAATAAAAATAATACATACAGGATTTGTAATTACTACGTACAAAATACAATCAATATTATATATAAAGGATTTCACTTTGTATAATAATTTAGATTTTAAATGCATCTTTGGTTTTATTTTATTTCGTTTTTACTAAATTAGTATAAAAGTATGTACTTAAAAGGTAGAGGAATTAAAAGTTTTTTATAATAGGTAAAATTTTATAATTTTGGAAAAAGTGTATAAAGGCTTATGCAAAAATCTCTTTAGTAGGCATTTCTATTTTCTAATAGCTACACACATTTATATTATACAATATAAATCATGCTAATTAAAAAACAATTATTACGATATAAGTAATATTTTGTTAATCAAAAAAAAAAAAAAAAATGTGTTGTTCGTTCTTACGTTTCAAAGCAATTTATGTCCTCTACACGCATTTATTCTAAAAAACTTATATAATAATATATACTTTGAGAATATAGATCAAAATAAATAATAAAACTATTTAAATAAATTAAAAAATAAATTATAAAATCACAAGTATTTTGAAATTTTAACAAAAAATAAAAGATGAAACTTTGAAAAAAAACATGAAACAAAAAAAAAAAAACTAAAATTTTACAAAAGTTTATTAGAGTAATAATAATAACACTGAAAATAGGGATTTATAAATAATTATGATTTATCTTTGAGAATAAATAAAAATTATTTAAGATGTCGTTAAGGATTATTTCTAACTAATTTTGTACAAAGCGGCTAATAAAATTCATAATATTATATAGATACTTTAGTGCTTTTGTTTTGTTGTCCTTTGAATATACGGGCCATGTAACAAATATTTTTGTTGTATTAAACACAAATTTTATAATATTTTGTACAATTTAATGCTTTTTAATCCTGTTTTTTTGTCAACTCAAATATATTTCTTGTCATAAATTTATAATTATTTTGCAACAATTTCTTAACAAAATAAGTATGTTTTTTATATTATAAATTCGATAGAAATATAATCTTTTTCAGCATGCATATACTCATAAATGAATTTTATTCACTGATCCTAATACAAAACCTAATTACTTATTAAAATTATTTTTTATTATTTTTTTTTTTAAATGTGTTAATTTTTTTATTTTTTATCAATTTACAATATAAAATTAATATATTGTAAAATCAAAAAACAATTAAAACTGACACATTTTTCCCTATAAATAATTATCGATGAGTATTGGCAAAAAATATTTAATTCATGGCTCTTTCAGGATATATTATCAAATATTCTATGAGCAGTAAAATTAATTTAAAAAATTCGTAAGTATGCCTTTTGATCGGATGTAAATTTATATAAAACCACCGATTATAATTTATACAAGAGAAATAAAAAACCAAAATAGGGTGGCCAGTGAAAAAAAAAGAATATGTATAAGACCCTTTGTGAAACTTTAATAAGCGTTAATATAATTTTTAAAATTGCATTCGTGAGTTCTTTATAATATAGTTTTACTATCTTCCTGCCATCAATAATTTATATTTTTTTTTTAAATTTTGTTTTAAATTCTTCGTATCTTAACTTAAACTAAAATGCACATATATAATAACCAAGCAAATCTTTGATCAGGAAATGGCAATGAAGTTCGCAAATTATAATCATTTATAATTTTAAACTTTATGATTTAATAATTAATTGTGGCTCTGATCTAAGTGAATCAGTTAAATATTGGGTTTTCATGGCTAACTGAAAATAACGTTTCTCATTTGGTGAATTCACTTTATATACTATAGGACGTACACCAACGTTACGCCACAATTCGGATATATGTCTAAAAAAAAAAAAAAAATATGTATATATTTAAACACAGTATTAATTAATTTTTATCTTACAAATTAAATTCCTCTTTACTAATGAATACCAGACTTATTCCAATCACTGGCGAAATTATATTTCGTATTATAGCACCATAAATTGATGTCAATAAACTGGATTGTTTCAATAAAAATTTGGTTGGATTTTTTTCAGTCCATAATCCACAAATTAGTTCCGGATTGTATTTCCGAAGCTAAACAAATAGTTAATGTTAGAATTATTAATGTGGGAAAATACATTTAAATATTAAAAGTATTAATAATTTTATTCAGCAATTACTTGATAAATGGCTAAAGGCGATTTGCTTATAATAATGATTCTTCTTTTAAAATTCTCGTTATGGTTTATAAATTGCTTTAGTTTTTCAATCATTCGAGCATTCGAGTCGGATATTAGCAAAAATATTGTCAAGTTAGAAGATTCTAAATATGATAAGAGATCGGTTAATGTTAAAACTTTTTCCGCGTCGAATTTTGATCTAAATTTTTAAGATAAAATTATTATAAATTTTAAAATTGATGTTGAAAAAGTAAGTTTATACCCTAAGGGATGAAGTTCCGAAATATTTTGAACAGAATTTTTAATATCAGTTAAAGAATGTTGAAACACATTTCCTTTAAGACCAGCTTTGTCAATTGTGTTCTTATGTAATATTAAAATTTCCCCACATGATGTTTGTGCAGCATCTAATAAAACATTGCGAAAACCCATATTTGAACACTAAAATTGGCACAATATAGTTGGGTACAATAAGCATGAGAAAAATATTTTTTAAAATCTATAAAGGACTAATTTGAAATACATACTCTTTTTAAAGCTACAAGTGAGTTTTCAGGCGCATCGTAACTACCGCCTTGATTTGCAACTGAAACAAATAAAATTATGGCTTCCTTCATTTAATCAAATCAAAAATTTACCTGGCCAATAAAAAAATGAATTATCATCTGCGTCACCTCCCAAAAGACTTATAAGGAATTTTTCATTCGGATTCTTTAGCTTGAAAAATTTTGACGCAATACATACTATTAATATAAGTACTGTTAACCATGGAATTACTGCTGAAGCTTATAATTAAAATTAAGGTAATTTTATAATCGATACCAAAAACTTTATAGACATGATGTTATCAATAGAAATATACATACCTATAGTGCATATCAGCCAAAAAGTATTTACGATTATTAAAATTAATTTTGCTGTAAACACTAAAATATTGTATAACATTTTTAAAGCACGAAAAATATTATTAAAGTTCATTCAGTACCAAAGTTATTTTACTAAAAATTTATATTAAAAAACGAAAAAAATTAAGCCCTAATGTTTATCTTACATATCGATTCCTTTGACATAACATATCAGATCTGCCATAAATGTGAAATTTCATTTTTCATATACATAATGATGTCATAAAACAGGGTGTTGTTAAATTTGTGTAACATGTTGTTTGCGTAGCATTTTGCAATTATTTATTTTTATTCAGGTAGGGAGCTGCAAATAAGTCTGTAAATATTTTTATTACACTCCTGTAAAATTAAAATTTTTAATAATAATTTCAAATAAATGCTCAATTAGGTTGAGCTCAGGTTACAGTTCCAAAAAATTATGTTTGTCAAAAAATTATGTTAGAAGATGACAAAAAGCTTGTCGAAATGCATGGTGCCCCATTTTGATTATTTTGATACTATTAATATTTTAGTGATCGCGTATATATATTTTGTACTAAGAATATGCAACTACATTACTGGTCATTCACTACCGATTTGTCAAAAGAAATATTTTGATTTCTACATATTCTCTAATTTCTCTAATTAATAAAGTATATATTTGAAAATGAATTAAGAATTTTTTTCTTAAATCTATCACACAACTTGTGAAAACAATACGTATGCTTTTTGGTACTAGGTTTTTGAACTGACATTTTCTAGAAAGAAGACATTTAGTTTTCTCGTAAATAAAATTATCCTTGTCCTGTAGTTTTTTACTCTCAACCATAGATAATAATATATAACTAATAATATATTTTTTATGTTCTCAACCTATATTTTGTTCATTTTCGATAAATCAGCATACTGTCAATTAAAATAGTGAGTAGTCAAGCGAATTCATTATAATCACTTGGAAACATAGTCGCGACTCGCAACGTTATTAATTGTATTTCGTACACTTCATTGTTTTAGCTGTTCAGTTTTTTTTAGATTTAAAGCATGTTGCGAAAAATAATGAAAAGAAATTAGATAATTATTGTAAAAATATATAAAATTATAAGTAAATAATTTAATAATGTTTTTAGAAAGTGATATTAAAGATAGTTTTAAGAATGATGAGGCATTGGAACTGAAAGTTAAAGAAATAACTAAAGGTAATAAGTTGAATACATATCTAATTAATTTTTATATAAAATTTTCTTTGTTTACATTTTTGTTCGAAATACTTACTTTTAACTAGACTTAAAAGATGGTAAATATGATATTTCCAACTTTGTGGAGAGTATAGGATTTGCTTTAACTTCAAGCGCTATTGAAGATCGAGTTAATGGTACACGTTTATTATCAGCAGTTTTGAATGGCATTCCTGAAGATGCTTTGTCTGATGGACAAGTAAAGTTTATTGTAGATTTTTATTGCGACCGAATCAAAGATCATCATAACGTTTATCCCCACATTATCAATGGACTACTATCTATTATTCAAATGAAAAACCTGCCCGAAGGAAGTGTCACTAAAATTTATGTAGCATTTTTCCAAAATCTTGCATGTCAAAGTCAAATTCGTTCCGATAGAGAGAAAATATTTAAAATTTTTAAAATAACATCCGAGAAAAACTCAAAGGAACTTATCAAAATGGGTGGCGATTTTTTATATGGGGTTATAAATGCAATAGATGGGGAAAGAGACCCAAGAAATTTGGAATTCATATTTAACTTTATGCCAGAATTCATAAATAAATACCCATTATTACATTTGGCAGAAGAAATGTTCGAAATCTTTGCGTGTTATTTTCCAATTGATTTCAATCCTTCAAAGACCGATCCAAGTTCTATAACAAGAGATAACTTAGCAAATTCTCTCTGTAACTGTTTAGTAGCTAGCTCGGAATTCATAAAATTTGCTGTTCCACTTGCACTTGAAAAATTGGAGAGTGATTTAATAACGGCAAAGTTAGATTCAATGGAGTTGTTGGTAAAATACTTTGTATTATATTGTCTATCATTTAGCGCTTACTTTTTGTATTTTCAGGAAAGAATTTCAAAAAAATTTCCCATAAAATTGATAGAGCCTCATTTTGAAGAAATATGGAACACATTAAAAGGAGAGATTTATCCTGGAAGTGATAATCAAGAAATAATTGCCAAGGGCCTTAAAACCTTAAAATCAATTTTAGAAAACGCATGCAACGATACCAATATAAGCAAAAGTTTCCAAACAACTGTGTTGGGAACTATTTTATGTCACCTCAGTGATGTAACCCATCGTATGTTTGCTCCTTCTAAATCAATAGCTCTTGTTTGCATAGTAGGAGATCCAATTTTTGCAACAGATAAAGTATTGAATTGTTTGATTTTAAAATTAAAATCCGACGATTGTGATGATGAACAAAAGTGCAAAATTCTTTCGACAATTTCTAATATTATGAATATTATTTCGTCAAAAAAATGTTTTAAGGAAGTTGGCCAAGATGTTTTATCATTATTAGAAACGGAATTAATGAAATTAGTTGTTTGTGGAACTCATAACAATGAACTTATTGTAATACTATTCAACTGTGTAACAGATGCTTTTGAAATATTCAGTTTAGAAAGTCGCACCTTAATATATAAATCTCTTTTAAATATAATGACTATTTGCAACTTGAATTTTGGGCAAAATTTAAAAAAGATAGGTAAACTTTGATTTAAATTGTTTTAAGTATAATTTAAATTTATATTTCGAAATTTATTGATTTGAATGTTTTTTAGCACAACTTTTTCCAATTGAAATTAAAGATTTGTTAATAAATCCATTAATGCAGCAGTTTAACTCTTTAACACCGGAAGTTAAAGAACACCTTTACCTTAATTTGAAGCCACTTGTTGAATTTGATGAACTTAGACTTATTATTTTACAACTGATTATTGATAACACCATAAATTCTGAACATATTAATGAAAAACAGGCTGCCTTAAATGCTTTAAAAGCAGTAATTGATGACCAAAGTGAGGAAAATACAATAATAAAGGAATTGTTGCACGATTTCAAAATACTGGAAACGTTATGTAACTACACGAAAAAGCATTCTGAATTATCAATTGAAATTTTAGAGGAAATTTCTTCAGTTTTGAATATTTTTGTACGGAAATTATCTTTAAATGATCAAAAACTTGTTCTTGATAATAATTTGCCTAAAATGAATCTTAATTTAACTACTGATTTGTTTATAACGAAAGGTATTTTAGGATTTATGCATGAAAGCGTTAGTACTGATGCTTACTTTGATAGTTTATTACAAGATCTTACGACATTAGCTTTAGAGAAAGATGATCCAATATTATGTAATGCGTGTCATCATTTGATATGCACTTTACTAAACAAAGCTGAGGAAAATGAAAATAACAGAAGCTCCTTGAAAAAAGTTCTTTATAAATTAAAAGAAGAAATTAAGAAGGAAAATGAGAAAGCTGTAAAAATTTTATCTTGGATAGCAAAAGGACTTACTGTAAGAGGACATCCTGATGCTGCCGAGATCGTAGAAACTTTATCTGAACTATTAAATCATCCAACATTGTACAAATCTGCTTGTTTAGCTTTTGAGATCATTTCAATCGAATATCCTCAACTTCATTTACCTGTTATTAAATTTTTGTACAAACAAAAACTATTCCATATCATTTTAAATAAAATAGGTAAATACTTATTAGACTACTCTGAAAATCATATGAATGCGTTTGTGTTTATACTGAAAATGACCCCACATAAAGTTTTAAAATTAAATATTGAAAAGGTAAATTAAATTAAGAGAAAAAATCATTTAAGTAACATAAACATTTTAAAATTTTATACATTTTTTTAAGGTTGGACCCATTTTATTTAAATGCTTAGAAATTAAAAAGGTTTCCACAGTTTTAATTGCGTTACAAATTAACAAAAAATTTCTCGATGAAAAGGATGAATATTTTAGAATACATTTTAACTATTTAATTCCGCAATATTTAAAATTATCTGAATATAAAGATTCCATGGTAAAAATTTGTTTTAATTATTTTTAAATATTAAAATGTTTTTTCATTGTTATAAAAAATATTTAAAAAACTTGTAGGAAGTACGTATATTTAGCTTAAAATGTATTGAAACTATTGGTCAATATCCACCATATACTTTACTGCCTTATAAAATGGATGTTATTTTGCATTTGGCTTCCGCTTTAGATGACAAAAAAAGATTGGTTCGGAGTGCTGCAGTAAGTGCTAGAAATTTGTGGTTTTTAATAGGATCTCCAACAGGAGGGGAATAAAGTTCCATAAAGTATAATTGATAAAACAAAATACATTCATATATGTACAACTAAAATTCAAAACCCAAAAAAAAGTTTGTTTTGTAACATTTGTAGTAAAAACTCTTAGAAATATCTTTGTATAATTAATAAGAAACTAAAAATAAAGAATTTAATCAATTTTTACATATGCGTTTCATATTGTTTTCACTATTGAATAAAATTTATGTTGTACATACTCGCCTGTTATACATTTTCAGTTAAATTTTTTTAAAAAATATTTTGAACTTTGTACTCAGTAAGGATGTTCACACTGAGCTCTTGCCATTAAAGCTATTTTTTGAGCTTTTTGTACTATCTCAGCACACTTTCTCTTTCTTATCAAACGGCAATCTTGAAAATAGCCTTCATTTCTAGGAAATCCATGGGAAAAATCTTAATAGAAAAAATAAATTTAGTGCGTTAACAGGGATTTTTAATTGAAAACAATACCAGCATATGTCACCAAACCTAAGCCCCATATTCGGCCCCCACGAAATTCCCCTAGGTATACAAAACAAGCGATAAAAATGAAAAAAAAATCTTATTTTCCAAAGCATATATAAATAATAAAATATAAATACCTTCAAATTTCATACCGTCAGCACGCCAGAATATTCCATGACCATGAAACCATCCTTGCATAAATTCGCCCTCATACCTAGAATCAAAATGCTGGTAAGAACTGCTTAAATATATTGAATATAATTTACTTTGCACCGTCTGGGAACCACATACAACCTAGGCCATTGCACATTCCATTCTGAAATTGACCGTCATATCGCATTCCTCCTGGCAGTAATAAATGTCCAAGACCATGTTTTTGCCCTCTCTGATTCCAGTCACCTATGTAATGAGTACCATCATTGTATTTATAGCCCCCGCATTTAACAGCTCCAATAATCATTCCTTGATTATCTAAAAATTAAGATATCTATATTTTCTGCCAGCAAATTAAATTTTTTTTATTACCGTCATCCATTTTCCCCAAAATTCTGTTATATACAGCGAAGTTGTAAGTACAGTTAAAGTAATAATATCTAAAGAAAATTTTCTATTTGGTTTTTTAAGGTTTCTTTCAATATGTTTAAAAAGGAAATAAAAATCAATATATTTTAATTAAATTAAAAAATATGTATGTGAAAATGAAAAAAGAAAATTTACACTTTTTTTAATTTACAAACAGAAGTTTACTCAAAACATTTTAAAAAAGTTGAATTTATTTATTTTTTTAATAAAGATGAAGGTGTACAATTGAGTCCAAGGCACAGTTGAGATATCATACATTTTTAGAAAAATTAAATAATAAAGAAAAGAACAACGGAAAAGTAGGAAATCTGGACAAATCTAAATTATAAGAAAAAGTATCGTTGTTAAATTGAATATTTTTTATTGTTATTCAACAAAACATAGTTTTATTCTTTGATGACATCATTCTGAATTTCTAATAATTCATTTTTGTTAACAGAATGCTCCATAGCATATTCAAATTTTTTTCTAAATATATCTGGATATTTGCTTTTGAGTAAAATTAAGGAATCTGTAAATTTCAGAAAAAAAAAAATATATTTTTATTTAATTTTCTTTTTGAATCAGATTTACCTTTGATAATAGCTTTTAATTTTAGTTCTGGTCCATCAAAATGTAAGAATAATAAATTCAAACCATAATCTAAAAGATCATTCATCATATTGTTATGCTCTTCATCTGCAACAGCTACCGTAAGTAGGGGAAATACTTTTGCAGCCCATTCCCTTATTTCAGAACAAGGATCATCAAGTCGACTAAGAATTGCTATAAATATTTTAATAGTATGAAGTACTTAAAAATCAAAATGGTTTATTTTATTACCAAACCCAATCGGTTTCAAATTTTCCTTATCTATTGTTGCAAAATTTTTGAAGCATTTTAAAGCATAACACCTAGTTGTTACTTTTTGGTCTTCTATTAAACCAGGAAATAAGGAAATATATTCAGAAAGAATTTCAGGTGCCTGGAATTTGTTTAATTGTATGTTAAATATGAAAAAGAATGGTTACCAATATAATTTACTTCCTCTTTGGCTCCCTGTGTCATAGAACATAAAGTGGCTACTGCAATTGAACGCATAGATTCAGCACTAGCACCCGCTTTCCATATTAATTGAGGTTTTACGACATCTTTTACAAAATTTCGAAGAATATCAACATTTACTGCTGTGTCAATTCTCATAGTATCATTCCACTTGAGCATAGAAATTGATATAGCAGTAAATATTTTTACTTTACCTTCGGGCAATGCATTAACCCAAACAATATTTATGCATTCTATTAACTTTGGAAGATACTCGTTTCGGAAACCACAAATCCGTATTATGCCATGTAAAAGTATAATTGGTTCACTGTTTTCATCAATATCAGAATCCAAGGTATCCAGCGTTTCCAATACTGAACATAAGTATGTTTTGTGAAGTTGGTCTAATTTAATTTCATTATTGCACGACAATTTCAATAGGATTTCTTCACCAAGTTTGAATACTTTTTGATCACATTCTTCAAAGCTTATAGACATGACTTTTATAATAATATGATAGAAGTACTTTTCGACTTCATTTTCTGTTGAAATTCTTAAGTTTTCCATTGCTTTATCTAGATTTTCTGGTAAAGTAGAAGGTTCAGTTTCTGTTTTATTGCGAATATTATTGTACTTTTCCATGAGAACTTCTACTAACTTCAATAAGTACTCTTGAAATTCGGGCTGAAATATAAGAACATAATAAATATTTTTCAAAATGTGTTCATTTAATTTTTAATTCTTTCAAACCACCTTGAAGCTGTGACAAAAAGCAGACATAGACAACAATTTAGAAATAGTTAAAATATCGTCATAAACTTCAAATTTATTTGATGAATACAAAGTATAAAAGCATTTTAAAAATCCTAAGTTTTGATGTTTTTCCAATCCCTTAATTGCAGTATTAATCCATGACTCATATGTCATGAGTCGTCCCATTAGGTTGCAAACTTTTAAAGCCTAAAAATAAAAAGCATTAAAATAAAATTTCCCAAGATATTTTGTATACACAAGCCTCATTTGCAATATGTTTTTCAGGATCAGCACAGGATCTCGATAAATCTCTGTAAATTTCGAAAAATTTAACGGTTACAGCGTCTTCAGCGTGTAAAGCAAATTGATATAATAGTTTAAGAGAATGTAATCTGACTTCATCTTTCCAATCCGACGTTTCCCGCATAATTAAGTGAACCATTCGTAACGCTCTTTGAACTAATGCTCTACATCCCAGAGTTGGCCTTTCTTCATTTTCGGGATAATCTTTCGGAACTTCATCAGCGACTTCTAGTTTTCGTAATTGTGTCTCATTTTCATCATAATAAAGTTTTCCACATTCGATCCATAAAGGTTTTATATAATCCCGAACTTCCGGAGATTCATCCTTTAAACTAAAATTTACAGAATAAAATATTTAATAAATAAATATCGTACAATTTTTATATGCTTGGAGATAGAATAACGTACCAGCAAAGTACTAAAGGAAGTATATTTTCAAAAAACGAATATCTATCTCGCAATTTCATTAAGAACAAAACGCCGGCTTTGCCACATTCAAGTCGTACTAACGGCATTAAATCCATTAAATTTGGTGAAATATCTTGAATTAATTCTCGTATAAGTTCGCCATTGGAAGTGATATTTATGCATATTAAAGCTAAGCATTCAATTGCTGCTATTCTATTCTGACAATGCTTATGAGTTAAAAGTGGTCGTAGTGGTTTTGCTAATGCTTCACATCGATAGTGGAACGATGGCGTAGAATTGGCTAACAACTTTATTGATAAACATGCTTCTTTTTGAACTGCAGAATACTCGTCAGTTAGCGTTTTCAATAATATATCAACAATTTCATTATATGATTTTAGTAACTTATCTTCTTTTTTTTCACAATCTAATGGAGATTTGAATATTTCTATTAGAAAATTTAATTGTTTCATTAAATGCAATCTCATTTCTTCACTAGTTTCAATTATTTCTTTCTTGCCCAAGCGACTAGCTAATGTGGTAATAATATATTGTAGATAATAGTCATTACGTGGTAATCTGGTTATTGCCTCAGTTATTAAATCACACGCAGATTCTCTACAACTTTCATACTTATCAGCATAGCATTTTAGAATATGCAAGTAGCACTCATCATAGATTGAAATCAAATCATTTTGTGGCAGATCTTTCGCCCCGAAAATTTTTATCAACATTTTTAAACTATTTTGACGACTACATCTATCTTCACTTTGTAGTTTTACGCAAATGTCTTGAGTATTTATTTCTAGCCCTTTCATTCTTCTTTTAATTTAATTTTTAATTTAATTTTATTGAAATATCGATCAAATTTTTTCAAAAACCAAGTAAAATCTCCTTAGAAACTTGTGCTTGTTTACTTTTTATTTTAGCTTACTAATTTTTTTTTATAAAATTAAGGTTGTGTTTTATGTTTTTGTTTATAAAATTATGCCCAATAAACAATAATTTAAAATACATACATATATATATATATATTCATACCATATATGTGTTTAATATTTATTAATCTAAAAATCAGGGAGGACATTAGTAGTCTACCACATATTTAATGAAAATCTAATATTTTAATTGCTATTTACTTGACATGTCATACTTACGAGTAATGTGCTCAGTACTTTAAGTATAAGCAATGGTGGCTTGAACTGATTAATTTTAATTCGGACAAATTTTCCGGTTAATAGTTCAATAGTTCATTAGATTTTATTTTTTAATTGACGGTATGGAAATTAATATTAAAATTGAGGTGTTAATAATATGGTTGCGAGAGAAAAAAGCTATATTAAGAATAAAGAACGATGTCAATATTTCAAATTTTCATACAAAATAAATTAAAAACAATATTTTTACACACATTTATTTATGAATCAATGATCGCAATGAGTTAGAATTTAATTTAATTTAATTTTGGCTCCGGTTCAATTCTGGGTAATTTTCCAGTAAACATTACTAATTAAATTTTCAATATTGTATTATCGAAAATTACCCTATTGATTGTTTCAAATCGATGCATTAGTAAAACTTGCATTCACTGTCATTTGTTTGCAATATTTTTGACGTTCAAAATGTCAAAATTACAAAAAATGTGACATACCATGTGCGCTGTAAATCAACAAATAATAAAATAAAGGTGTCATCAGTTTTTTAATTATAAAAAGTGAAAAATAAAATAAATAACAAAGATGAAAAATTGCGTTCTTTTATATAATTTAAAGTATGACATAGGGGTAAAAAATACGAAATTATTAACCGTTGACCCTGATAACTCAGGAAGAATATTTATTGCAACTAGAACTGCAATTTATAGGTAATTTAAAGTATAAATTTAAAAAAAAATATGTATATATGTACTTATTTTCAATTAACATTTCTTTAATTAAGCTTTAATCAAGGCCATCTTGACAAAATTTATGAACTTTCAAAAATTGAAGAAGAAATTGTGTCGTTCGAGTACTTAAGTCTCAGCAATGAAATAGTTTTTGCAACAAAATGCGGCGTAGTGAATTTGGTAAATATACATCACAAATTTAGTGAAGAGGTTACATTTTGCGAAGGAGGTATTGAAAAAATGAGTTGGAGTCCTGATCAAGAGATTGTAACTTTTGTAACAAAATCAAAGTCGCTTGTAGTAATGTCAAGTAGTTATGATCCAATATCAGAGACAGTTTTGGATGATATGAGTTCATTTGGTGATGGTGAATTTATTACAGTCGGATGGGGTAAAAAAGAAACACAATTTCATGGATCCGTAGGAAAACAAGCAGCAAAAGAAAAAAAGTTATTTATTGAACCAAGTAATATTGAACAATTGCCTCAAGATATAAATATTTCGTGGAGAGCCGATGGCGAACTATTTGCAGTATCTTTTGTAGGAGTGTATGGAAGGATGTTTAAAGTTTTTAATAGGGAAGGAATGTTACAATACACTTCTGAAAAAGCAAATGACTTAGGGGAATGCATATCATGGAGGCCTTCAGGAAATTGGATATGTGTACCACATAAGCTTCCAAATAAATATACTATAGGTCTTTTTGAAAAAAACGGACTTAGACATCGCGAATTAGTGCTTCCCTTCCAACAAATAGAAGAAAACGTCAAATATATAACATGGAGTACAGATTCTGAAATTTTAACAATCGAAACTGAACAAGATGATAAGTCAAACATTTACCTTTACACTATTTGCAATTATCACTGGTATTTAAAAAATTCTCTAAATTTTACAAAAAAAATATGTTTTATGTCGTGGGATTGTGGGATTCAGCAAAATAAAAAATTGCATATATTAATGGAAGACGGAGAATATATTATTTATAGGTAATACTTTTAATTTTTTTTTATCTAAAATGTATGAATATGCTTGCAAATTTTTTTGATTATAGATGGCATTTTTCTGTTCAATATTCTCATGGTGAAACGGAAAGAAATCAAGCCGTAGTAGCAGTAATTGATGGAAAAAATTTATTGCTGACAGATTTTCGAAATCGGATTGTACCACCACCAATGTCAAGTTACAAATATGAACATTCCTCAAATTTGAATGTGTGTGGTTTTCTTAATTTTTCAGTAGACTCCGAAAATGATTTAAATAAGCTTTATGTAGTTGATGCACAAAATAGTATTTTATTTTTCCACATAAAATTTGAGAAAACTTCACATACAACCGTTATAAAATCATTGGAGCTGATATCTTCACAAAAATTTGATAATAATTTATTAAAAAATGCTCACCAGTTTGCATGGCTTAATGAAAACCAAGTAATCTTTTGCACATCAGACAAAGGAAATAGTGTGGTAAATTTAATAAATTTAAATGATAACTTGCAAACAATACAAAAACATCAAACAAATGGAATTATTGGAAATCTTGCGGTTATCAATAAAAGCGAATTTTTGGTGAATTTTTTGGATGGCGAAACGCAAATCTACAACGTGAGCAATTGTAATCTAGAAAATTCTTTATTCATGAATGAAGGTACATACTGTGAAAAAATTGAATGTGCTGTTAAGCAAGAAGAAATTAAACTAATAGGTTTAAATGATAGCAATAATTTATATATTAATGGAATTAAAATATCAGAAAATGTAACTTCATTTATTCCTTCGGAAAATTATTTGGTGTTTACCCAACTAAATTGTATAAAATTTCTTCGTTATGATTTGAATAAGGTTGTTGAAGAACGGAAGATCGAAAGAGGTTTATATAAAAATTTGAATAAAAATTTATTTAAAGAGAAATATTAGTTAAAAAATAACTTTATATTTTAGGCGGAAAATTGATAACTATTGTCTCTTGTGACTCAAGAACAGTTCTTCAAATGCCTAGAGGAAATTTAGAAGTTATTAGCCCAAGAACGCTGTCTTTGGAGATAGTTAAAAAGTACTTGAATTCTCTTCAATATTTTAAAGCGTTCGACTTTTTGCGTAAACAAAGGATCAACTTAAATATAATATTTGACCATAATCCTCAAAAATTTACGGAAAATATTGACATATTTTTAAATGAAATTGTTAGTGAAAATTGGTTAAATTTGTTTATATCAGATTTACAAAATGAAGATTGCACAAAAACAATGTATTCTGGTAACTATATTGAGGCAGAAAAATGTTACCTAGAAAATTATAAGGTAGAAGAGAAAGTAAGATTTGTCTGTGAAAAATTGAATCAAAAGATGGAAACGCGAAATTCTTTAAATTATTTACTTCCGATTGTCACCACATATGTGAAAATTGGAAATTTAGAAAAGTGTTTGCAAATTATATGGAATGAAAAAAAACAAGAAGCTGAATTGAACGAACAAAATGTTTCCCCTGCAAAAAATTTGTCCGAAAAGGCGTTAAAATATCTATTATATTTGGTTGACGTAAATGAATTATATAATGTAGCTTTAGGTATGTACGATTTCAGTTTAGTTCTTTACATAGCGACAAAATCACAAAAGGATCCAAAAGAATATATTCCATTCTTGAATGAATTAAAAAAACACGAAGAAAATTATAGAAAGTTTAAAATCGATTTGCATTTAAAGAGATATGAAAGTGCTTTGGTTCACGTTGCACAATGCCAAGATTCAGAAAAATTTGAGGAAGCTATAGAATTCATTGTAGAAAAGAAGTTGTATCAGAAGGCATTGCAGGTTTATGAAAATAATTTAAATTATTATAAAAGAATTTGCAAAGCATTTGCTGACTATTTACGGACTCAAGGAAAATTAAATAATGCAAGTATTATGTATGAAAGGGCAGGTGATATGCAACAAGCAATATTAAGTGCAAAACATGTCAATGATTGGAAACGATGTATATTATTAACAAAAACTTTGCATAAAGGCGATGAAGATCAACTAAAATGTATTGCCCTGTAAATAAATGAACTGAATCTAATTTCAAAAATTTTAATATTTTTCTCTATTCTAGTTCGCTCGCAGTTTCTTTAGAAGAAGCAGGTGATTATAATGATGCTTTTTATATTTTGAAAAACTTCGTTAAGGATGATGAAAAAGCTATAAACTGCTTATTAAATGGAAAGTTATTCAACAAAGCATTATATGAAGCGAAAATTATTTCAAGCATACCATTAGGTAAGAGCTAATTTACAATAAAAAGTTGGCGGGAAAACTAAATATTGATTATATGTATGTGATTTTTAGAAAATCAAATTGTTTCTTCAATTTTACACTACTATGAAGCAATTACAAGTACTATTCAAACAGACCACGAAACATTCTTAAACTATAGAAATCGTTTAGTAGTTGTTCGTAAGTTAAAATCTGAAAAAGATAATTTAAATTATATTGAAAATGATATTGATGAATGTGATCTGCTGTCTGATACAACAAGCTTACATTCATCTTCACATACAAGGAGTTCAAAAGGCACAGGGTAATTATTATTTAAATGTAATCATTTTATTCGTATCAAGAAATTTCCAATTTTTTTTTTTAGTAAAACTTTTAGATCTAGTAAAAATAGAAGGAAACATGAAAGAAAGCTGTTGAGTCTAAAAGAAGGCAACCCTTTCGAAGATGTTGCTTTAATTGATGCCATTCATAACTTATTAACCAAAATAATAAATCAACAAGCTCATATACGTGATATTTGTCAATCCTTGATTGAAATCGGAAAGGATAACTTAGGAAGACATCTGCAAAAAATATTTAAAAATTTATTACAGTTAATAAAAGAATCGTTAGAAATAATTTGGATTCCTGAAATGGAAACAAATGCACCACTGTTGACTGGAATCAATATAGATTATGTTCAGTATCAAAATGCTCAACATTATGCATTGTTAAGTAAGTAAAACAACCAAATTTTTATTTAATATAATTTTCAAAAATTATTTTTTAGCTCCTTTAAAACGATTTAAACCTGAACTTAACATTATTGATTGGGAGCATGATATTTTACTTTAACGAGGTTAGATTGAAGAAAATATATGTAAATTAAATAAACAATTATTTTGTAATTGATTTTTATTAAAATTATTATATAATAAAAATTTTTATGAATTATTTATTTTGTTAATTACTTGTTAGTTTAATATTTATTATATAGATAAAAGGTGATTCTTTTCAGCTAATTTTAAATTTAATGAACGTATTACTAATATCATTAGGAAATTCAATATATCCAAATCAATTGGAATTAGTTAGAAAATCTGAAATTGTTGAAATTGAAAATAAAATTGCTTCAGGTCCAGAAAAATTTTCAAATATACCTATATAATGTACAGGTTTTCTGACCTGTGGTGTGGCAGCCGTATCAACCATTATATCAAAGAATATTTTGATTTTTTAATTTTTTTCATTGTTCCTGAAAGAATTTATCATTGGTTTCTGAATTCAAGAATGATAGGCTTTAGGAATAGGAATGATAGACAATATTTCTTATTTAAATATATCTCGAATTTAATCTGTTTTGTTATTTTTATATAATTTAGAAATTTCAAAAATAATTTATGAAACGCATCAATGAAATTTTTAAATTTACTTCAAAATAAATTTTATTATTGATGTTATTGACTCATCATTGATCATAAAGAAAATAATACAAAAAATTATAAAAAAATATTCGATAAATTGATTTTATTTACTTACGTGCTATCAAAAAAACTTTTTTTTTTATTTTTAAAATATTATTTTCCACATAAATGAATTCAAAACGCGATAATGTTTTGCATAATAAATGTAGAAAAAAATTAATTTGTGGGTGTTAGAAATTTTTGTTTTCTATTTTTCATTTTTTAATCAATTTGCAAGATAACTACATAAAAAATAAATTAAATTATCATATGATTTAATATATGTATATACGAATATTATTTCATAATTTAATTAAATTATAAATAAATAAAATTAGAGCCATTAAAAATATCAAAAGCACTCATTGATATTTAAAAATTTTTATCGAATTTTTTTTGGGTTTGCTTTTTAATGGTTAATTCCAATTATGTTAAATATAAAATGAAAATATTGTGGTAATTATTTCATATTATAAAGGTAAATAAAAAATATGTAATAGTAGAAGAAAAAATAGTAAAAAAATTTAAAATTATTCATGAAAATTCTTAGCATAAAAAATATTTTATAATAAAAATTATTTTATTCATAATTATTAATTGTACATAGTGAAGCATATGAAAAAACATGCAGAAAAAGAGAAGTAAATAATAATAATACGTGTGTTACGAGAATTTAAATTTTTCTATTTTTTTAGCTGTTATGTGATTCGATTGAGTTGTAATTAGCCAAATATTTTCATGAAACTTACCGTGGTTGTGGTTATTTACCTGCATTCTTCTTATCATTAAATTCGTACAAAAGAGAATTGCATTGAATAAATTGTTAAGGAAAAAATTTTATATTCGAGTCAAGAATAAAATATTATAAAATATGAATTAAAAGCAAAAAAATACAACGCTTCAATATTATTATTAATTAAATGTTTTTGCTTACAAGACATGCCTGCCAATTTATGTAAATTAACAAGAGTTTTGTGTAAGAATAGGTGCAATAACTTCGGTTTTTATTTTTTTTTGTATGCTTATTTGCTTACTAATTAATAGTTTCTAAATTGACTAATCATAATAATAATTACATTATCTTAATTTATGTGAAAATTCCTTGTTATAAAGAAAAAAATAAGCGTATCTATTCGTGATTGCAATTCAATCGTTGAATAATGAAATTTGATTTAGTGTGTACGAAAGTAAAAGTTTTTAATTTAAAACTAAAGCAAGAATTAATTTTCAAAATGCTTCCTCATGGCCAAATAAATATAATTGATTATTTTCGATATTTTAGTAATAAATTTCACTAATTCATGGAAATTTAACACTAATAAATTTTATGTTGAATCACTATTAGAATTCACTGAAATCCTGCTTTTCTAACTCTCTTTTAGTGATTGTTTAAAAATAAATTAGAACAATTTACACACATATATATCTAGTTTACTTTTAATTTTTTTTATATTTTGTTTACAAATATGCTTCTTGAGATATTGCCTCCTATTATCAGTAAATTGAAGCCTGATATTTATATATTATATTGGGTTTGTTACAGATATTTGACAAAATTTAGTTTTTAAGTAATTTATTTTACATTTAAAAATATTATTAATGAGATATCGTCGTCCAAAACAATAATTAAATAAAAATTATTTTTGATAAACGTGCCTTACGTATTTGCCTTACGAAAGCTACTATTCAAATTATGTAAGAATAAATATATTTTTAAAATAATTTTGTCAATTCTTCAATTAAAAAATTTTCATTCTTTCCTTTCCTTAATTTGATTGCCGTTTTTTTTTTATTTGTATTTAGTTTTCTTTAGAGAACTGAAAAAATCAAATTTAATTGTACAAAAAAATCTACTCACCGGTTAAATTTATTTAATTCATGGTTTAACAAAAATGGTATAAATTAAAGAACGCAGAAAATATTCATGCCGCCGGACCAGATGGGATTCCACAAAATATAATACAACGGTTAAAAAATTTACAATCAATCTGTTATGTTATTTCTTAATATTCTGTTATAAAAATTTATTGTTATACAAATAAGAATCCGAGGATATTATTCATGTAAAATGAAATCACCTGTTGGTCAATCTTAGTTCCTGAATTTCGTATGCATATAAATATAACATTACATTACAACTACAATTAAATATCCATGTTATGTTACATAAAATCATACATTCATACACCTATAATAAGATATAATTAGTAGAGCCATTTGATTTATATATTAGGGTCGTATTATGTTTTTTTTAAAAAAAAAAAAATAAAATTTAATAAATATCCATTCGAATTCACTATTGAAATGGAAATTACTTATTGTATATTATATATATATATATATATATATAATAATTATTTTATTATTACAATGTACTTAGACTATAATTGTTATGCTATATAAACTACAGTTTTGGTTTAAACTTCAACTATACCATAGCAACTTAAAATAAATATAGTAATAAACAAAATGAAAAACTTTTATACTCATTTCATATTAAATCAATTGAGAAAATCACTCAAAAGGAAAAAATAATAATAAGAAATAAAAAAAAAAAATATCAGAATTTCAGAGTACCATTCCCCAGAGTCAAACATAAACTAGTAAAAATTTATAATAACGTTATTTAGTCTTTTGAGATCGTTTATTGCTGTAAGGTCGAAGTTTCGTCGCAATATTAATAATAATTTTGTTTTTTTTTTTCTTAATCTAGCTCTTTTTTTTTTTGAATAAAATATGATTTAATAAAACAAAAAATATAATGTATATTAATTAATATAAAAAATATAATTAATTAAGTGATTTCTTATTTTGTAATAAAATATTGTTTGTAAATACTAAATGCCTAGTGTGACTAGGTATTATTTTAATAAATTTTTATTTATATAAATTTTCGGTGTTTAAAATATAATTATAACCTTCTTGAACTGAAAGCATGTAAATTTCAATATTGTTATTTACATTTTGTCAATTTCTCTCTATTAATCGTTTGCATCATACGTATAATAAATTGTTCAATTCTTATATATTATTAATTGAATCAAACTAAAAGTAAAAAAAAAAAAATTAAATATTTCCTATATTTTAATTTTATTAATATTTTTGTGCTCATAATTTTTCCTCATTATTATTATTTTTTTAAAAGAATTTTATAATTAATTATTCATACTTAAGTTTGCAAAAAATATTCTTTACTTTTAATGTTATACAAAATTAATTATATTATTTCTTTAATTTTATTAAAAAAAAAAAAGGAAGTGCAATATTACACATTTAACTCAAAATAGTATAAATAAAAAATATATATATATAAGAAGTAATTAAATAAAAAAAAAGCACAATAAATAAGTTCAATAATTCAAAGGTGAATTAAATTTTGAGTCCTGTATCTCTAAATATTTAATGGGAAAATTGTAAGAAGGGAATTTTTATAAAAAGAGAAGAGTATAAATTAAATGAGAAAGAATAAAAATATACCTATGAAAAAATTTATTACATAAAGGTATGTTAATTAAATTATTTTTTACACATATTTATCTACATAATATATTCATATATAAAAATATTAATATGAATTGGAAAATTTATAAAATATTTAATAATTATTATTCATTTAGCATATTAAGATTTTAAGATAAATTTAAAATTTTATAAAATATTTTCGGAATTCACTTATAAAAAAAAAAAATATTTTATTTTTACCTTTTTGTATAACATTATTTTTGTCTACCTATTTTTATTTATTACTATTGTATGCTTAGTTATTTATGAAAATATTATTGGAAAACAGAAGAAAAAAATGAAAAAAAAAATGCTATTAAAAATTATATGTGTGTGCATAATGTTTTTTTTAGTATTTATTTAAATAAAAAACTACTCGCTCTCTATATTGGTCTCGTATAATAGTTTTAAAGAGTGTAATACTTTACAACAATAACTTTATTTCTCAATTTAAATTTACCTTTTCTACCTTATTTTTTGTTTTCTATCTTTTCTGCTGGAATTTCGTCTCTGCGAAAGACAATAATTAACACTTGTAGAGTAAGTAGTAGGAGATTAGGAGAAGTATAACAACGTCGTATTAAAAGTTGATAAAAAATTCCATAATGAAATTTCACTCAATATGATTCATAGTTATTTTGAGTATTTTTTTTTCTTATTGTTGCTTTCTCGTATTACCTAATTTTCTACCTGTGGAGGTATTTTTTTTTTTTTGTTTAATCATTTTTTGTAATGCTTATGATTATACATATGTATGAAATATGTTGCTTAACTTAATTATTATAAATTATTTTGACAAGAATAAAAATATTTTACTGTTAGATTATTCTTTAAAGGTTATAATGTTTTTTTTATATTCCTAATATCGTAGGCCCCTATGTAAATAGAAAGGTGTATATTCAGGTAGGTAATCATAAATACATGTGTGTATTTTATGTGGTGAAGAGGGGGGGTGAGGAAGAAGTAAAGGAAAAATATTTTTAGTATTTTTGGATATTTTTAAAAAGTTTAGGTATAATTTGCTTTGTCTTTGAGCTTTAGAATTCATACTACTTACAATGTCCAGCTATAACATATTACTATAAGGTAGTCTAAGATTCTAAGCGTCTATACTCTATAGCAATGTAAATAATAATTTGTAAAGTTATCAGAATCAATGAAAATTTGAGGTGAAAATTCATAGTCGAGATTATGTTTGTTTGCATTATGAATATATTTGTAATTTAAATATTTAATTTTATGGATTTCAAAACTACACAGTTTTAGAAAGAGCATAAATAATTTTCGTAGTGGACATGAAGTCGTATAGGAAAAGAATCTATAATTATATAAAAATTTTTAATTGTAATTTCAAAAATCTTCATTTTATTAAAAAAGTTCTTTTGAGCAAAAACTTGAAAATCTCTAAATTAAAGAAGTATAAAAAATTGTGAATTTGTGTAGTGTAAAAAATAATAAAAAATTACCTTTGAAGTTTATTATTTCATATTTATTTAACTTAACAGAGAATGAAACAACAGATTTCAATACAAAAAAAAAAAAAACACAAAACAACAAAAAAAATTAACTTAAAAATGAGAATATAAAATTATTGTCGTGAACTCGTGAGTTGACTTTAAATTTTTGTACTCATACAAAATATTCAATACATTCATAAAGATTTATGAGTGATCTTTTAATTTATATTATTATTGTATGCCTACGTGTTTTTACCTGAAAATACATACATACCCATATTGTTTACCTAAAATTTTCATTCATCTCTCTCTAACTTTTTGAGATTTCATTCTTTTGTTTCTGTTTGGCAATTTTTATTAGTCGTGATCATTCATATATACATATGTATGTACTATATGCTCGCATTATAAGTAACATCCGTGTTTACAATAGTTGAAATTTTTTGTTATTTCTCCTCGTATTTTCCATTATAAACTAATCATATGATTTTAAATTAATTGGAGTAAACAAGTTTTATTTTGGTTGTATTTACTATTACTCAGATTTTTACATAAATGTACCTATGCATGTATTTTATTATTAAAAAAACAGCAATATATGTACATACTTGCATTATTATACCAGTATAACACTTTAATACAAATTTTGTTAATATAATTAAATATTTTTCATTGCAAAATATAAATAAGCTATTTTCAATATTTAATAGATTGATACAATATATTTGAATAATTAGAAAAAAATATTTTGTAAATTAGCTGAACAGCAATGCTAATTAATTGTTTCTGTTAGGCTTTCAGTCTTTCAGTCTCTCTTATCAAATGATAACTTGGATAAATTTGTATTGAATTTAATATTTACTTGTTGATCTTATGACATGTATAATTTGAATGATAGTAGATGCTACATAGTTGTAATAAAAGAAATTCGTAAGAATTTGGAATAAAATTTAATATCTACATAAAAGTGGAATTCAACATAAAGTAACTATTTTATATTGCAAATTGAATGTAATTTAAAAAAAAAAGGAGCAAAATGATTTACGATATTCTGCGTGCGAGTAATGATTTTAAGAAAACAAATGTTTCAAGTAAATTTAATTTCAAATTGTATTTTTAAATAAAATTCTGATTTTTTGCATTTAAGTAATTTTCAACAAACTTAAATTTTATTTTTAAAATATTAAGTTAATTTTTAAAATTAAAAAAATTTTTTAAAATAATAGCTACAATGTTTTCAGACATACATATGTATGTATGTTTGAATATCAAAGCGGAGAAAATTTATAATATTTAAAATAATTAGAAATTTTTTAAATATCAAATACTTATATAATAATATAATTAAATAAAGCATTAAATATCGGAAATAATAAGAGTAACATTATAACAATATTAAAGAGTCAGTAATCAGGAGCTCTTATTATTAAATTAATAATAAGGGCTAGTATAACAATATTAGTAAATTGAATTAAATAATAATTATAATAATTACTTAAAGAATATTTTAAATTAAAAAAGAACTTTGTATTGCATATTGTATAGATTATATGAGCAAAGGTATATTTCCCCAATGACTACCGGAATCATTCATGACTATTGGTATTAAGAACACTTTAGGTTCATTTGAATAAATAATTAAAGCTTCATAATTACTTTTAATTTCGACAAAAAATGAATTTAATTAAATTAAAAATTTAATTTTTGTATTATAAAAAAATTATTTGAATTGTAGACAGGTTTTAATGAATAACTATAAAATAATAATTAAAAAATTTATTATTTAATTTACATATTATTTCAAGCTTGTTTTTGTTTTTATTTTAATGAATAATTCAATGTCAAAGAATCTTAAATATTTAAAAAAAAAAAGAAACTTTTTTTTTACTATTATATTTTGTATATACCTATATAATGCTTATGCAATTAAAAATCCTCATTTTACTTTTATATGCATATATATATATATATATATATATATATATATATATGCGTATATACATGATTTGGTACATGCATTGTTTGAAATTTATTTATATAATATAAAATGCTGTAATTATATAAAACAATTTAGAAATTCCCAGGAGTAATTGTTTTTTATGTAGTAACTATATACAGTAGGTATTTTTTCAATTACATAAATGAATAGAAATCGAAAGAGATAAAAAACAAAGTTGAATAAATCAAAATAAACTTACAAGTAAAATAAAATTATTAAAACGAAAACAGGTGATTCGCAGGTGAATCAACCTCTTAACTAACTTTAATAAGTTTAAGTTTAATTAACTATCATATTATTATTAAGTATGTTGTGTATTATTGACTCAACATATTTCTGTCTGTTAAAAATAACAAAAGACTGAAAGTAAATTTACAATAAATTAAAAACAAAAAGTAATGAGAAAAAATACATATTCGTTATATTGTGTATATTTCTTACAATGTACACATTTATACAGACATACATATATATTATATTGCATTACTCAAATGAGTACATATAAATTTATTATTTCAATTGTTTTCTGAGTTAATCATGGGTGATATGTACAAGTGAATTATCTAAAGAAAAATGAAAATTAAAAAAAAAATGAAAAGCGAATGAGATTTAAGTGTTTCTTTTTAAAAAAGGAATGTGGAAAAAAATCAAGACAAAACAGAATTTTTTTTTTCAATCATAAGTTAAATGAAAATTTAATAGTAAAAATTTAAAAGTAAAAAATTGCATTTAACACAGTACATACAATTATTGTTATTGCAAAAATTCAAATTGTTATTCTTTTCAATTTAACAATTTTGCAAAATAATTTCACTTTCATTATTTAAAAATCAATTTTATTATGATTAGATTTTCGAGTGACCATATGTACATATAAGCATTGCATAATTGAGTTAAAAGAATTATAAAATTGTCACAAATGTTACTGTTATTTTGTATAATTGTAATCTAATAATAATATTTTGATTTATTACTGTATATTGTTATAAATTCTAATTTTGCATTTGCAAACCTATATAACTTAAAACAATTATTATAGAAAATTTGAAACATTATAAGGGATTTTAATATTTATAGAATGAAATTTGAAAAAGTGGGACTTTTCCAAATTTTTCTTAAGCTCATCTAATTAAAAGCTACCTATATGGCTTATTAAGCAATTACTTTTATATATTTGACTTATAAACATAAAATAAACAATATCCACGTGAATTTTAAATATTAAGAACACATGTTATTTATGTTTACCAAAGATATTGTATACTTAATGTTATTTACACAAAAATTGACATAAAAAAATATTTACAAATGATTACTAATTTTTAAGAAGTACAAAAGCACATGGACATAATTATAATATATTTTGTATTTATAAATTTAGTACAATAGTATAAACAATATAAACAATGTAAACAGTATGTATAAAGAATCATTATGTATAATATCATAGTCATTGATATGTTTTAAATACTTATTAAAAAAATTTCTGTTTTTTAAAATGTTCTCGCTATTTGTATAACTGTTGTGGGAATTTCTAAATATTCA